AGAGATAGCTCTTATAAGTCTGATATTCATCCTTAATAGTTACAAAACTACAGTATCAACGCAGGTGTACCTAATTTTAGACAACCAGCCGAAACGCTTCAGACTGAATAGTAGTTGTTGCTACTCAAGCAGCCAATTTCATGATGCGAGGCTAGAAATGACGATGGGAAAGAGAAAGATAATAAAGCAATTTCAGCAATCATCAGTACAGATAATCATTAAGGCTGCGAGTAACAATCGGGGAATCATAGAATTGGGGTATAAGTGTAAATCTTGGCAGTATGCATTAGTTTTTTTTCCCAATGGCGGGCACTTGCTTATAAGTGCATTGGCCACTCCTAAGGCCGGAAGTGTTGGCCAAGGCGTCTTACGCTACCTTCCTATTAAGGGACAAACATCCATGCCTTCTCCGGTATTCGAACCCTGGCCCTTCCGTATTGCAGTCAGGCTCTCCTAACCGCTATACCGTCTGGACGACGTATGCATTAGTTTATTATATACGAATATAATCATGATATTATTTTAAAACATCAAAATAATCTTTCATCATTATATGGCTGATACTTTCGTAACCTGTGTTAATGATAAATTTCAATGAATTTTGCACTGTTATATAGGAAGAAAGTAGTTTCTCAGGTTTATGGTGCAAAAGTTTCAAAGGTAAAGTTTCAAAGGAATAGCTAAGTTCAGAAAGATTTCGCTTTAAACAAAAACTAGTTCAAATACCACCGTAAACTGAAAAACTCTGGAGTTAGTTTTGCAAAATCATGCATATTTATATTTGAAATTTAACAGATTTATTGACTGATCTTTCGTACATTTTACAGTTGTCTTCAATTCCATTGTAGAATTCTTTTTTACGGGAGGGGGCGAGAGAGGTATGAGAAAAAATTGTGTTTAGTAAACTCAAGGCAATGCTATCTATGACGAACGATTTATTTCAATACGTTTCGAAGCACTGTCATTGTTTCGGGGATTGGTACACCAATTTTTGATCCTATTTGACTTAGTTCTGCATAAAACGCCAGCTTTAGCGAATCACCTTTAGTTATAGCTTTAATATTTCTTTCCTTCTTTAATTTTCCTATGCATATTATTCTATGAATTAAAAATCATTTATAAATATTTGAAAGAGTTCAGATTATAACGATCGCCCGAAAGAGCTTTTTTGAAGTTTAATACGGTTTATCAGTAGAAAATATTGATAGACATGGTCCAAGTGGAATAGTGTGTGTGTGTGTGTGTGATTATGGCAAAGCCTCGAGAGAAAGAACGGAAAGTCGTGTTTCGAGACTAACAGACTTTTCCGGCTAACAATAATTCTTGACGAGCTGCATAAAGGCCTTCCAAAATCTTCAATTTCAAAAATAAATTGTTTACTTAAAAAAGTAAAATTTGAAGGCTTTCAGATTTTATACTACATCCAAACGGGCGTTTGTTTCATTTGCAGACACATACACGTTTCGAAAGCCTTTGTGCTAAAAATATTTAAAAACAGCATATCTTAAGAATTTCCGATAGACAGTCTCGCGCGCTTGAGATAAAAATGTTTTATTCTCTATAGTATTGCCACTGCTCGCTTTGAAATTGTTGAGTTTGTTAATCAAAAATTCGTTAAAAGTTTTACAAAATATTAAACAGATAATAAAACAAATTCCAAATTGGAGCTTAGCTTCCAGGTGTCGTCCATATTCGTTTGGAGGGGCTTGTTATTTAAAATTTGATGGCTCTAGGCACCGTTGTTTTATCACAGTGTGAGAAACGTACATACATTCACGTAGATTCCTCATTATTTCTTTTCTTTAAATATAATACAGGGCTATAAATTTGGTGACAACAATTTGAAAACTGATACAAAGCTTTTAGTGATTCAACGCAAAATGTAGCTTCGAGACTAATAGCCCTTCTGGGCTAATAAATAAATTTAGAAGTCAATTATTGACATTAGAGTTTGTCTTTGGAGAATTTTATTAAAATGCTGCAAGTATTACAATTTGCTATTGTGACGGCAAAAAACGAAGTATTGCTAATAACAAATTATACGTCTGATGAGTTAATTAAAATAAGAAAAATTTACTCGTGGACTTTGCAATGACGTCAGAATGATAAATAACAACTTGAAAAAAATCTGAAAGGTTTCAGATTTAAAATTACGTCCAAAGAGGCGTTTTTGAATGTTTTGCGCGTTACGTTTATTTTTTAAATATCATGTTCTACGTACTCAAACTATAAAATTCAGTTCAAGAGCAAAATCGCAAATTAATTTTAAAATGAGCATATCTTTAAAATTTCCGATACAGAATCTCGCGCGCAATAATTTTTTTCCCCGTGCAGTGTTGCCATTGCTCGCTTTAAAATCGTTTAGTTTTTTAATCAAAAATTCGTTGAATTTTTACAAAATCTGAAATCACTAACAAAACAAATTTCAAATTCAAATTAGGGATTCCACATGCATAATGTAATCTTCCATACAAGATTACGTTATTCAAATTTTGATGGCTCTAGGTACCGTTGTTTTATCATGATACGAGAAACATACAACTATTTATGCAGATTCTTCATTATTTAATTCCTTTAAATATAAGACAGGGCGATAATATATGGTGGCAACGATTTGAAAAGTGATACAGCCTTTTAAAGTTACCGACGCAAAATGCCAAAACGAAATTAATAGTCCTTCAGGGCAAATTGCCTCTTTGGACTAAAAATATGAATGATGATTTATTATATAGTCTTCATCTACTAATTTCTCTAAATTTATAGTAAATGAAACTTCTATACTAAAATATCTTTAGGAAATAAGCCAATAGATGAACGTTTATAACTTTTCCTAGTTTCAAGTGCTTTAGCGCAGCTACAGAATTAGTCTCCGTTACATTTTTGCAATTCATTGTATTTATCTTTGATTCATTTCTTCAGGTATATATGTCGGTAATGTCATAAAATCCTACATTAAAGAATTCAGCTATGATGAAGGCGTTCTATTACAGTAAATTTGACATTTACTTCATGTTTTTTTACAAACAGATGTTTCCCGTCAATACAAAAGGAATGTTGCAAACTTTTGATATATTTTAACCAAAAACAAAACAAAAGAAAAAAAACTTTAAAATAGTTAAAAAATAACCTAAATTAAACTTTAAAATTTTCATTATTGTAACAATGAAAAACTTCCCTGTAATTATTCGAAGCCATTTTGTCTGTCAACCCAGACGCAAGAAATCACTCTGGCGCAGACGCGGGCGCCCCTAATGTTCCAAGGGCGTGGGCTGTTGCTAGGTAACGCCGGATCGAAGCTCCAGAAATACAGAGATCTTTCTGCATCTGCCGGCATGGAAATCCCTCATTTATTATTTTTTTCCTTCGCCACTTAGCTTAACGATTTCTGTCTCGTCTAACGCTTTCGATTTTGTCTATAGGGACTTCCACGTGTATCTTTTCGTACGAAAACTCTATTTTCAAATCCTTTAGAGATTACAAAGGATTAACCTTCGCATAAGTAGTTACAGAAAAATAATCTCTCTCCAACTAATACTCATTACAGATTAATTCGCATTAGGAAATGCTGAATGCAATAGCGTAATTTTGGAGTGAAATTTCTTTAATTTTTTATTCATTGCAACATTAGGATTACAAGTTTTAGTATTAATACAGAACAAAAGGAAACTTTTTGAAAAAAATAAATGAATATTAAGCTTAAACTATTGTTTGCATTTTTATGGTACTGGAAGATTTACATTATTTTCTTCTTTATTCGTTGGATTTTCCTCACTTCACGCAAGTGAGTGAACTTAAAATACGGAATCTCAGAATGGTTGTATATATAACAAAAATTTTAAATTTAACTCTCTTAAAACTCTAACGATAGTTTTGAAGAAAACTTCTTTCTTTAAATTTACATCTATTTTAAAACACACCTTGCTTAGTTATATCTTTCCATTTTTAAAACATCGGCACTAATTAGGCACTTTTCTTTTTTAATATGTGCTGGAATAATTAAGAAATTAAAGTTTAAAACTGTAATATATCTTTCTAAGACATTTGAGATTTTTCGTACTAGTAATTTAAATGACATTCTGCTAAAGGTTAAAAAAAAAAAAAAAAAAAAAAAAAAAAAAAAAAAAAAAAAAAAAAAAAAATCCTTGTAAAGCTTTCTCACCAATACCATAAAAGATTACATCATTAATAACAAACAGGATTATATCTTTTGTAGAGTCATTAGATTTTTTCTGATGCTGGAGACGTGAAAAATGTGCAATATCCTTGCAGGGACTCAAACCCTGGACCTCTCAAATACGCGCCGAGTATGTTTCCAATTACACCACGAAAGTATGCGGAAGGAAGGAAGAAATATACCTCATATAATCATCCCTCTTTTAAAAGAGTGGCCGAAAATTAGGGAATCCAGTCGCCAAATCCCGGTCATTTACGAATTATTGCTCACCGCTTTTTTTTTTAGTTTGGGCACCACTGTAGAGTAATTAGGTTTTTTTTTATGCTGATGACGTGAAAATTGTACCCGGACTCGGACCCTAAACTTCTCGAATATGCGCCGAGTATGCTTCCAATTACACCACGAACGTATGCGGAAAGAAGGGAGAAAATACCTTATACTTTTGTACATTGCTGTGGAGGAAACATCTAAAAGCTGCTCATTAAATTCTTCAATCTAATCTTCTTCTTCTAATTAAAAAGAAATAGATAGGCAGTACTTTAAATTCTAAAATTTTTAAGGTAATCACGCTCTAATCACAAAACGCTTTGGTGCCATTATACAAAGTATGTGTATTAATAATTAAATACATAGAAAGAAATTGTTCAAGCTATGTTTGCTTGCTTAGTAAAAAATTTCTGTTACTGCCATCTTATAAAATTCTCCAAAATGAACGACTGTATTTCTAATAAAAAAGTATAACAGCAATAACAGCACTCTTCATGATAATTAATGATGGAAAGAAGAATCAAAGAGTCATTTGAAAAATAAGACGCTTTTCACTAACCGACTGCATCTTTTTTCAGGAACTGGGGAGCAATGAGACCCATGGACGCTGATTTTCTGGCCGTGGGGACGCAACTCTCGCCCGGAGGTCGGGGCCAGGCCACAAACTGAGACCGGTACTCTGTGGTCTTGGGCACAACCCCTTCGTCAGGCAGATCCGGAGTACCCGGGTTACCTCGAGGATTCGTGCTTGGAGGGTAACTTTGACTCATTAACTGCAAAAGGAAAAAAGCGTTAACAAAATTCTATATACAGGTTACCTCTTCAGCAAAAATAAAAATATCAGAACATTTAAAGAAAAACAGCCAATGCCCCAAAGAGACCAAAATTCATGCCAATAAACAATGTGCATATTGTTCATTTTTATTTTAATGCACATACCACACTAGTTCTTTGAGAACGTACCACATTTAAAATGCAACAGTGCGGAGTTAATGGACTTTCTTCTCGTGATGGTACTTATCTTTAGTGAAAAAATCTCAAATTCAATCAGGTTGAAATATCGGCCCTTTTTCTCCTAAGAAACATGTATATATATAAATAATATATATATACATGAAACGTTTTTCATTCTTTAGAAATCTGAACAGCCATGGAAAATTCACTAAATAAGGACTTCTAACTGAAGTAGAAACACTTGAAAAAATTCAGTGAAGATAATAATATCTATGAATTTGTAGCTGTTCGAGTCATCTTATCTTTTCCGCTATTTTATGCACACCATACTTTTGCTATTAAACAAAATACATTCTCTAAAATAGTTATAAAAATCGAAATATTTTTTATGACGAAAGTGAAAAGCTCCAAGAACCTTTTCCATAACGAAATCATTTTCTTGTATATTTGAACGCTGTTTCTTCTGATAAAGTATTTTCAGTCGTTCTATGTTTAAAAAAAGACCTAGATGGGTTTACTACCAGAAATTTCGCTGAACCAAAAACATGAGACCAATTTTCATATTTAAAGAATTTTTTATCAAAAACTCTTCTCTGAGAAACTACCAACATTACTAATTTAGATAAAAAAATAGGTTCTATTAAAACAGAACAAAATATTCAATCCATTTCAAAAACCCGTATTAGCAATGGGGCAATTATTATTCACAGTAATTAATTATATCTAGGAATTTTTAAAATCAGCAATTTTGAGCTTGTCAGCAATGTATACAGTGATGGTTTTTACAGTAAGTATATTTTGAGATTCTCTTCATTAATAAAGAATTTCATTCTACCCTATTTTTGTAAACGATTTGTAAGAAGACAATCTTGAATTAAATTCTAAATTCAAAGAACATAGGTTTCTTGCCGAATAGAGTATTTATCAGGTATCTGACTTTATTTAAAATTTTGTTTTCTTCTTTAAACTGAAGCACTTTAATTTAATAAGAAGGATAACATTCCAAAAATCTTATTTATTTGCTAATTATTGTTTGGCAACCCTTTGAAATTTAGAAGGTTCTCCAAGTTCAATTTGCGCATATTTTTAATGAAAGGAATGATTTAAAACCTGGCTTACACAAATTTATTCTAACAGAATTCTCTTTTGCATGAAGCGAAAACTGCAGAAGAAACTACTTAGAATAGATAATTTATATATTATCCACATATTTCTATAAAATTTAATACACGAATTTATTTTAAACTAAATTCATTAAATTCAATCTCTCAAATCACATTAAAGCATTTCTTAGACTGCGTGATTTACTTCCTCAGCTATTTTTTTCTCATTTCATTTTGTCACTTTTTTAAAAGTTTATATATGTAAAGCGTGAAATAAAATTTCATAGATTAATACTGAATTTCTAGTTCTCAGAGAAGAAATCACATATCAGAAATATAATCAAAATGAACGGTCTTGTTTCAATACCATACGAAAAATATTACTTATTTCTTAGAATCACACTATCATGGTTACACGATTATCTCAACATAATTTACAAAACTCAACATTGCAAGTTTCAAGTTGTTAGTCCAAGTAATTTAATTTCTTGATCTGAAAAAAAAGCATCCTTTATCATTGTACGCTATAAACAGATAATAATTATCAGTCAATATCGTGACTTTAAATATGACACAGTCAATGGAATTGATGACGCTTTCTATCACAGCATCTAAAAATATTATTCAAACATAATTCCTGTTGGAGAAAGAATCTTAATCATTGGTAATGTATAAAGACAATATATCATTTATGTATACGTTAACTCAGCTGTGCCATATAATCTTCTGACTTGACTTAACGTCGTATCACTCTGATGATAAAGCTAATCAGTTTGTTTCTTCTAAAGTTAAGTAAAGAATGTGGTGGAAAGATGCAATATTTCTTCACTGAAAATTTCATTTTTGTACTTGAAACAAAGTTACACATTCATTGCCATTTCGGAATAGGCAAATCATAACATGCTTCACATGTATTTTTTCAACCGTTTCTTAATTAACGCTTCTTTTATTTACAACAACAATACTACGTATATTATATTTAAATATATTTTATAATCAGTTTCCTTTTTAGCAACGCTAATTACGTTTTAGACTTCGAAAAGTAATACCTATTTTTAATTATTACTCATGGGAGGGAAAAGAGAGAACGTTTAAGAATTGTTCGGTTAGTTTACGAAAAAACGACGTTTAGCTAATTAACATTAACTAGGAGATGTAGGATATGTATATTATATATAGCATAACAATTTCGAAACCGGGAAAAAATTAAAAGCTGTTGCCTTTTTTCTAAAGATTAATTACAGTTTAAGTCTAATAATTCTTCTTTACACCAAGAATCGAAAATCATAATCAAACGATTCGCTCGTTTTATTCTATCACCAGGCTACAACTGTATTTTTGCTATTAGATTACAGAAAATCACAATAGATCGATAACTGTGCTCCTACTTTCATTCTACTTTATATGGTACATATAATTAATTCAATTAAGTTATCATTTTCACTAGAAACGATATTAAAAATCTTAATCATCCTGTGATGAGATTGCATTATAGTTACGTTGCTACAGAATCTTTCAGTTGATTCTTAGATTCCTCCTATATCTAATTTTCAAGTTCTTCACTCATAAATACTTTTTTTCATATTTTTCCTTTATAGTTTTCAGTCATCATGCTAAAATTTAACTAAATCTATTTCTAATATTAAATCTTTATCAATTAGTCATCATCTCTCGTATTTTCCACTCTGGGCTTTAAGAGCTCATTCTTACGCAGTTTAAAAAAATAATTAATAATTCTTAAAATCGAAAAATCAGTAACTTTTCCTGATTCTTTCTAAAAACTCGAAACAGAAACCAACGCATATTCACATATGACCTTAAAACATAAGCTTAAAAAAGCAAGCCAAAAGTGAAAGTATTTTTAGCTTCAGTTTCTACGTGCCTATCAGAGAATATTCTCTTCTTGTTGGCATTTAGTCTTGACCACGCAGAAAGAACACCGCTGGACTCAGCTCCTAGTTTAGACATAGCAGGTGGCAGCAGACCAAAGCCCGAAATGACGATTCCCAGCAGACGAGAGTCTGCCGACGGCGGTCGATGGTCATGCAAAAAGGACGCCAGATTTCATCGTCCAGGTCTAATGCGACTGCGCCAATTTTTCCAAATATGCCAAGTTCGTTAACCTAAACTTATCCTATGGAATGAACCTTCAGATGACAATGATGTAGTAAAACTTGTGCATACCCATTCGAAAATTATATTAATAACATCAGTCATCATGTCATTTCTTTTCCTTTAAATTTTCCTCTTTTATTCACAGCGAAATTTGAATTATTAACCCTCAATCGAAAATGTTTAGAAGTTATACTATAATAAGTATGTAGCAAAATGTATGAAATAACATTTTTACTTGCAATACAACATCATCTTCCATTTATGATGCATACCTCAAATAAGTAAACAGCAGAAAAATGTATTCTTATTTTCTTGTCCGCTATTTAAATTTTCACATATTGGAAGCAAAATGAGAAGTGGTAAAGACGGATGTAAACCGCATTATTATTTTTAATTTAAAAATTGCTGGAAATCTGCTAAAAGCTGGGAGAAATATTTCAATTATAATTTTTGAAATCTAACATATCTTTGGATACATTAAATTTTCCCATTCTCTAACAAGTACCTAGATCTGCAGTATTATCAGAAATATGAATAATTATTATTTTAGTAGTTTTTGGAGTGATTCATCAAAAAGCATTTTCTACAGAATATGAGCAAACAGTATTGACGCTTCTTTATAACATGTTTTCATAAAATTCTCCAATATATTTTAATTAATTCGGTAATTGGATGAGCATGTGTAAAATTAATATTTCAGAAAATTAAGGAAGTTTAAAGAAACAAAATCTATCTATTCTGAAGACCTTGTATAATTCTATTTTGTAATAAGCCAAGATGGATAAATATTCCGTCTTGGAAAAGAAGGACACGTCTCGAAATTTACCGATTTTTTTCTAGAAAATCAATATCAATTTAAGTTTGAATGTTGTTTGAATTAAAATTTTTATTGATTATTATTGAAGTACATTTATTTGCTTAAAGTTACGTTGTTCGAATTCAATTGGTACAATAAATTTGATATATGACGTTTCAGCAGTAGAGACAATAACTGAATTAAAATAAACATAAATTGGTCTATTAGGGGATAGAGACTTTACAGTTTCATAATATTTCTAGAAACTGATTTTGCATCACCGCTTAAAATGTCGACGGATTTATGCAACTTACCGGTTGTTTTTCCTCCATTTTTCTGGAGTCGCTGTCATCAGCTGCTTTTGATGGAGCCTTAATATCTTCATCAGAAATCTGAAATTAAAAAGACGACCAGATTTTGAGTTCATGCTCGAACACATGTAAAATATACCTAATTTCTGTTAAATCCAAGAATTCAATTATTATTTCCCTTTAGTATAATCCGCGTGAACCCCGATTTGCTGTATGAAAATGTCAATGCTGTTGTACATTTTTATAGATATTTACAACAGTCTTTTTTTTTTTTAAATTTGAATGTTATACGCTTTCTTGGTACCGTAGATTGCTTTTGCTTTATAAGGTATTCCTCCCGCCTTCTTAGCATGCCTTCCTGGTGTAGTGGTCAGCACGCTCGGCGCGTATTCGAGAGGTCCGTGGTTCGAGTCCCGGCGACGGCATTGCTCATTTTTCATTTCTTCTGCTTTCAAAAAATACCTAATGTCCCTACAGTAGCGTGTAAACTAAAAAAAGGTGGTGGATGATGATTCTCCACCTTCAGGATTTGACAAGTGAGTCACCTAATCCTCAGTCGCCCTTTAAAAGGGGGAGTATATAAGGTATTTCTCACGCCTTCTTACTTGCCTTCGTGGTGTAGTGGTCAGCACGCTCGGCGCGTATTCGAGAGGTCCGTGGTTTGAGTGCCGGCGAAGGCACTGCCCATTTTTCATCTCTTCTGCTTTCAAAAAATACCTAATGTCTCTATAACTTACTTATTTATTTAATATATTTTGTACTCTATGTTTATTTGTGTTTTTTAAATCGTCAGTTTATAGCCAGATATTTTGTTCGTAAATATTTATTTAATGTATAATGCTGTTTGTAAATATTTATTTAATGCATCATTTAAATTCTGAGTCGCTTGATGTTTGAATCGACCCTTGCTGTCGGATAATTTCTGTTGGCAAATTCGAGACATTTAGGAAGTTTCCGGAAAACGCATTTTTACGCATTTTTAGATGAGCTTATCTTCTCTTTTAAACAAGGGGATAAACAGAAGCGCCGAATGTGAACAGCCATGAATTAATTGGCTGGAGACTCTTTTAAACAACTGAGTATTCTGCTGAATGATTATTGTTTTAGAGTTTCGTTTTCGAGCGATTTATGTGTTCTACAATTTTCCTCGCGTGTTCTACAATTTTGCCTTATTTCTGCTTTTCTCCTTCGACTATTTATAGCCTTTCTGTTAATAAAAATTCAAAATCTTCCTATTAATCTGGCTTGGAAATCTTTAGAAAGGAAATCTTCACTCATCTTAAGGAAATCTTTACAAAATCGCAACACACAAAAATATAATAGAATAGACCGTTATTTTGGAACACAGATAAAATTCCTCTCTTTATCTGGATAAGTTTAAAAAGTAAGCGGTATAAGTGAATACACCAAATAGTTTTCTCAATCTTTTATCATGCATAAAAACTGGAAATATATTTCATCTTTACAAATATTATTATACTGCAGTGGTATTTTAGTGCGATTAGTTAAACTTTATATTTAATAATTTTAATTAATAACAGCAGGACCTCATTAACCTCACCACAGGAGAATTATAGCTGTCATGGATAAATGAATATCCGGGTTAAAAAAAACAAGCTTAAAATATGGATAAAACCATGAACTTAAAATATGTTGCAAAATTTCAGTTTTAACTACCTCATTTCGAAAATAAAGATGTCTATTGCTTACTTATATGAATGGTAAATTTCACATTTAATAATAAAAGTACATAACTTACGGAATAACATGATTTTTCAGACAAATTTATTTCGAAGAGATGTTTGTCTGAATCCACATTTACCAAATTAATTGATTTGAAGTAACTGAAGATCTTGTTTTGATTTACTCTTCAAAAAGAAATAATAATGAAATAATATAAATAAAAAGATCTTTTTTCATTATTAAATTTTCGAGGTTTCTTAAATTATCGTAACCTACACATACTTATTTTTGCTTTTGTACAATTCTAAAAGGTTTCTCAACTTCAATAAATACCAGACTTTTCTCGTTACAACTGTTACCGTCTTTTTCAGCTTTATATTTTTCATAGGAGCTCTCCTCTACTCTTAAAAACGTCTAAAATCTTCGCCTAATTTCCTTTTTAGTTAAACGGTTCATCTACATTCTTTGCCCAATAACATATCAGCATTTCTCAGAGACACTTCTCCATCTTGGATCTTGCTTCTGTTTCGGGATCTCAAACACGTAACTTTTTCAAGACCTATATATTCATTTATGAGTTTTTTTAGACATTAGTTAGATGAGATATACTTGTTTTAATTATTGTTATTATCGTTCAGGTTTGTAATGATACGATTTTTTTATCCATTACATCCGCAGCTGAATCTTAATTTCTGAACTTCTGAAACTTGAGCTAGAAAGATTTTCTGGAAACGCTGCTAGCTGCATAGATAATATCTTGGTCTGTTAGTTGAAACTAATAAATCCTACTGGTTAGCAGACTGTTCCGATTAAGGGAAGTCCACATAAAATCCTGCCTGATTTAATATTCGTGATGGAACGTAATGTGACGTGAGCATTTGGTATTTAGACTCATTACAGGTAATCCAAATGAATAGTCTCCATTTTTATATGGTCTCTTTCTCGGTGAAAAATATCTGTTGTAATAATATTGAATGGAGAGAAAATTACATATTCTTTATGAGTTTTACCATGGCATTTTAATTAAGATATATATATATAAATATGGATAAGTTTCTAAAACAATTTGCTAATAAATTTCGTAGCATGCGAAAATATGTTTTCGTTATTTAAAATTAGTACTGACTTGGATAATTTTAATCTGATGGGAAAAAACAAGGATCACTTTCTTGCAGCCTCTTTCTTTGCTTTTCGAAAATTCCGAAAACATAAAAATAAAACATAATACGTTTCCTTTACATTTCTGCAGCAAAAGGAGTTTGACTATTCTTATACATATATTTGGAAGAATTAACGTTTTTAATGTTACTGGTGCTTAGTAATAACATGTTTAACCATAATATTACTACGTAGGCCTCTCCGAGAAGGATTATTCGGATTATTCTAGTATCACTAGTCTAAGACTGCGAAATATACTTTGTATAATCAATGCTTTTTAATAATTTCAAGACTCAGAATATACCTAGTTGTTACTCAAAACATTGACTGAGGAAAGTTGAATTACCGAAGAGATTTCGAATTTATAGAATCTACTTTGCAACGAGTTATTATTTTGTAAAAAGTCAGCCTTTTATTTCTCTTCCAACTCGCTATAGCTCTTTTCACTCGCTTGCTTCCAGAAGCGTAATTTAAGTCTCATGGACACAATGGGCGATCAGCAAGTTTGGTTTAGTAAATTATGGCAATGCACACTAGAGCTATCTGCCTAAAGAGAGGGGTGCCTTCGTGGAAGATTTTCTAAGGGAAACTGGCTCGTACATTCTTTACACACGCAGAGAGCCAAGAAAATGTCTATGCAGCCAGTCCGTTCGGCCGAAATCGAACCAAGGTTGGAACTAAAAGTGTTCAGCGATTTTACCAGCTCAAGTCAAGCTCTTTGTGGACAAGAAAAATACGCCTGGCGTTAGCAAAATATACAGTGAGCAAAGTTTTGTCATATTGGAGCAATGCTATATTTTAAAAAACGCCATAATTTGGATCCGACAGATGAATTATTATGTGGCAAAATACGAATTAGAAATTGAACTCGAAAAACTTGTCTAATGTTACACTCGGGCGGTAGAGGCATAACGGTTCGGGAATATAATACGGATTAGTATTATATATATATATTATATATATATATAACGAAATCTGAAAGCTTCTTCAAGAGAACGTGGAATGCAAAATACATTTAAATTCTATCAGGATGACCATCCTAAACAGAGCCTTAAATCTTCGCGTGTGTGTTTATTGTACAACTATTCTGAAATTAATAAATATTATTATTTTATATTTTCCATATTTTCCGGAGCAAAAAAGAAGTAGGCGAAAAGAATAAGGAAACACAAAAGTAATTCTTATAGAGAAATGAAAAAAAAAAAAAAAAAAAAAAAAAAAAAAAAAAAGAACAATCGTACATGAAAAACAAAATCACTGCCAAAGCACATGAAAGGCGTAATTTTAACTGAAGAATATCCAAGGAAATATTGAATGTTCCAGTATATTCATGTTTATATTAAATATGAAATATTAATTAAAAATGCCTGAATACCTATATTAGTTCCTTTTAAGAACTTTTCGAATATTTTTTTTTTATTTGCAAAAATCATTTTGAATAATTTTTTTTCAAAACAAACAGGTTTTAAAAAAAATGATGTAGTATACGTCAAAGAAAAATATGACATTTCGCTAATATTCAGTAACTGATATCTGCAGATAAAACTGAAAGACATAAGTGTCCAAAACAAATGCGAGCCACTGTAAATGATATTTTATTCAAAACATAGTATCATAACTTCAAAATAATATATAAAGTTTGTTTTTATCTGAAATCGTTTTTATTTTATTTCATTTTAAAATTATGTCATTTTTAATGGAACACACTTTACTTGTATTTCACAAGAAAATAATTATAATATTATTTCGGGAAAAAAGCTCAGTTATTCACTACAATGAGTTAATGAAAATATTACTATAGCTTTTAGAGATATGCATTATAGAAATAATTCTTGAGACCAATTATTCATATGTAGATGATATTAAGATAAGAGTTCCTGATCTCAGACACAAAAATTACGATATGGGAAACAATATTAACTGACCTGAAAAAGAGCATAAACAGAAATGTGAGTAAATTGTATTTTTTAAATAAATATTTATTTATTTTAAATAAAACATTATTAGAGGCAAGATTAAAGAGCACTTTTATAACAAAGAAAATAATTATAATATTATTTTAATTTTAGCATTTATTCCATTTAATTTTCTCAAAAAAGATAAAACAACATTTAAAAAGTAATACTGAAGAAGAACATGCAAGCAAACATGAAACATGTAATTCTATCGTAGATTTTACACATATTTCATTCCATGCTACATACATGCACGAGAGTGCCATGCATGCCACGTATAATAAACAAAACTTGCATTAATGGAAGAACGAACACATTAATCAGGCAATGTTACAAATATTCTGGGTAGATTTTCACATTTACACTAATCCGCAATTGCTTTTATATCTCAGTCTGTATATAGATATTGAAGAAATAGAAATATCTGGAATTTTTTTTTACCAAAAAAAAAAAGATATTCCATTTTATTATAATTTAAAGAAATAAAGCGCAAACAGTAAACTTCCAAATCAAGTTCATGGAAATGTTAATAAATTCTAAGTATTTAGTTAAAAACATTAAAGTCATATTGAATAAAAAGTGAGAACTATTTTAAAAGTTTAGTTTAATTAAGAGTTAAATATGAAATCTAAATGTAAATTTATCTTTAGTACTTAAATCTGAACTAAAGTAATCATGATTTTATTTAATTAAATGGTCAGGTTACCTTAATTAAAATAGTTAAATTTGATTTTATGAAATTGGACTTGAAAAAAGTCGAAACTAATTTTTTAAAAAAGTTTTACCTTAGATGAAAGCCTATCGTTTATATCAAATCAAATTTCAATTTCAAAATCTTAAATTTAAATTGTCCTAAGCTAAATTTAATCTTATTTAGAAGTTAACGAGAAATTTTGAAACAGTTGAAAAATCATAACGTCACTATACTTGATTGAACTGAATTGAAAAGCACTATACTTGATTATATATGTAGACTCCAATATAAAACATTTGTTTATTGAAGGAGTCGTTTCTAGCCATCCCATATAAATATTTTTAATGCACAATAACTTGGACATGCATATTAAGGGATATACTGATTTGCATTCAAAGAACGACAACCAAACCTGCTTTAAGGTATAGCTTTCACATTTAATTATAAAGAAATTATGGATCTAATCATTTTGAATTTATATGAATAATACTGATCTGTTAAATAATATAAGGGAACTTCGAATATTTTTCTTTTTTAATTTAATTGATAATTAATTCCCATAAAGATATTTTTTTAAAGATTGCTGCCGCAAAACTTTATATTATGTTTAAATCGTTTCAGTAATAGCTTAGTTGTACCGCGTAAATCCACGAGATCCATAACTAAGGCATCAAATTTTAAAGTTCTGTACTCATCCTATAACCTCTTACCCTTTATAATCCTTTAAAAATGAAAATGAAACTTATAAAAAATTAAAAAAAAAAAAAAAAAAAAAAAAAAAAAAAAAAAAAAAAAAAACAGTCATCGTAAGCTTCTAAAGCATGTTATGCCAAGAGCTTCAGATTGTTCAGGATCAGACACTGGTTTCAACATCAAGCGTTTCAAGTGGTCAAGAATGGTTGTCGTACTCTGAAATGAACTGATGGGGATGGAGGTGGAGGATGTGTCCATGCTTGAAACAATCTTACCGGTGTAGCTTTTAACCTTCTACTGATGGTAGAATCAGCAGATCGGCTTCTTGGAGATGCTCGATTCTTAGTATGGTTCCTTTCCTCTGACTGTTCCATTCCCAATAAAAAAGAGATTAACGTCAGCTCCAATAACAATGAAAATAGTTTATTTTAAAATAGTCGTAGATAAGCTCCCTATATCTAGCCCATCCTATATGCATTTATTATTATTTCTCTTGCTTTAAACATTTTTAGATTACAGCTCAGTTCATCTGAACTAACGAGGACAGATATATTTCGAAAAACAATATTTTTGGGGTAGCAAATCAGACACAGATGGAAAAAATAGAAAATTTCATAATGATTCCCCTCACAAAATGTTGGTAGAATTTTCATTTGCTTTATTAATCACAACAGCAAACTAAATCCATATTTGCATAGTAGTGCGCAGCATAAAATCCCCTACCTTTTATAAAAATTGATTTCTTGAAGTTAGAAATAGATCTGCATAAGTGTGCAGACACCTTTATGTTAGAGCAGGGTTCCTTAAAACTTTCTGATGTGGGGACTTCATAATATTTACAAAAATTTTGTGGAACCCCCCATAAGCATTGCGCAAATCCGACACACGCGTGAGTGAATATATTAGTTTCTTTACTTGTACTGTAATATACTATTGCAGACTTTATTTTTAAAAGTAAAATGAACGTTTCTATTATAAAACAATGCGTCGAAACGTTTTCGTTTTTTCTTTGTATGTATTGTCTTATCTTTATCTATTTTCAGATAATGTAAAACTATTTGGTTATTGTAAATTTATAATAATAAGAAATATTAAAATTACTAAAATTTTTGGTGACCCCCCCATACTGCAGGTCTTGTGACTCCAACTGGGTTCGAGACCCACAGTTTAAAAAACCTCTGTGTTAGAGCACCCTTATGAAAGTTTTTAACTTTTCCGAACGGTGGTCGACTTGCATAAAAATGCCAGTGCCTTCATCTTGGGGCACTCTTATGAAACTGTCCCAAAATAAACACCGTCCTATCAACATAATAAAACCTATTTCATTTAAAATCAAACCTAAAATTTCGTGTTTTCTCGAAGTTTACTGGCAGCTCTGTCCCGTCACAGTTTCATAAGTAGCATTTATGCTGGTTTAGATTACTATCTCTTTCATTAATGATACTTATGGCAGTCCGAACGATAAGCAGTTCTTTTTGTTGCTGACCTAAGTGGTGTTACAATAAGCTGTTTTAATTAAGAAATAATAATTTAATAACGTTTAATGTAAGAAATTTGATTTTAAATTTCCAATTTCAAAAATTCTATTTTGAAGTATTGTCAGCGTCATAACAATTTATAAATTTCTTCACCGGCGATGTGGTCTTAACTTATAAGCAGTGCCGTTGTTACTTAACCAATGCTTACAAGCAGATTTGATATCATCTTAATTTATAAGTAGTAATCTTGGGATAATTATCATAAGTCCCTAGAACACTATAAAACGTTCGAGGTCCATGAATTTTCGAGGACTCTTTTCACAAGATGGCAGAATATGTTGCAATTATTCTTAATTTATTAATGCCTTTGAAATTTTTGTTTCATAAAGTTTCAGAAATTCCAAGAAATCATTCACTTAATGCGAATTTGAATGCATATAATTCATTACTGAGTGTAGATGAAGGCGTTTCCTAAATTTCTATATATTGCAACATTTCCCATTGGTGCAATCCATATAAAGATAATTTGTTTTCATTTTCAATTATATACATGTACCTCTTAAGAATGTAGCATTCACTGTATTTACTAATCTAAATTCGTTATTGTTTGCTATATTATAAAGATGCTAAACATATTTCAGATATAATTACTATTTGAAGCAAGAAGAAAAATCCTGACTGCTATTAAAACAGATGGGTAACAAAATCGTTCATTTATTATTTAAATTTGCAAACAGTGGAACAATAAGTAATACATGAAGTGAAAAGAAAACTGCTAAATATTTTCAGACGTAAGATTTGTTTGACTCACTTAGCTGCAGAAAGGTGTCAAGGCATTTAACAAAATAATTTTTTAGGGTCTTTTTACTGTCTTTCTAGCAAAAAATACTGCTAAAAACTAAGACCAGTGTCTATGTAAGATCACGTAAACCATCACAGAAAGGTAGTATGCACACATATTTGAGGAACGCCCAAATAATAAAAAGATCACTATCTCAGGTAGAGCTATTCGTTTGTATTAACCCTATTGAAAAACAGATAAGACAATCTTAGAAACTATGAATAGTTTATTTTATTCTACTTATTTAGAAAAACAGGTGAAGAATACCTTAGAAACTGTGCATACTTTATTTTATTCTAATTAATTGTTACATTTTATATCACTTCAACTTAAAAACTTCCAATCTGATTATCTGATTTCAATAAAAACTTCACATTCTATACCTTGGGTTTAATACACTCACGTTTGTGAAAATTGCAACACCAAGAAGGAATCGTCATAATTGAATGCAATTTAATACACAGTTGAGTGGTAGTGGTACAAATAAATGATTAAATGTTCAAAGCAAACAAACAAGAACAAGAGATCAGAATCAGTATTTTGTGTGGCCACCACGCGCCGCAATAAGTGCTGCTACACGACGTGGCATGGAGTCAAACAAAGTTTGAATGTCTGACTGAGGAAGAGCATTCCATATCGTTTGTACGCCTACCCAAAGTTCGTCTGCAGACGCAACAGGACGAGGATCACGAGCAAGACGCCCGACCAATGACATCCCACACATGTTCAATTGGCGACATATCCGGGGAACACGCAGGCCAAGGAAGAAAAGCTGTACCTGCTGCGCTGCAAAGAAGGATTTAAACAATCCGAGCAGTATGAGGGCGGGCATTGTCCTGTTGAAATACAGCGCCTGGCAAGCTTTGAAGGAAGGGAACAGCTTCGGGCTGTAGAACTTCACGGATATACCGGTTGCTGTTCAGCTTGCCCACAATTCGTAGCAATTGAGATCGTCTATGATATGCTATGGCGCCCCAGACCATAACTCCGGGTGTTCGTCCACTGTGGCGTTCGATAATGCACTCCGGAAGGTGGCGTTCACCGGCATAGCGTCTGACACGAATGCGACCATCATGGTACCACAAATTAAAGCGGGATTCGTCAGAAAACACGACATGCTGCCAAATAGCACGCCAGTCTCTATGCTGATTGGCCCATTGTAGCCGCAGGCGGCGATGGTCGTGCGTTAGGGGGATCCTGTATAAAGGAGTCCGTGCGCGCAGTCCACACTGCAGCAGACGTCTACGAATTGATGAAGCACACAATGAAACACCTGTAGCTATTGACCACAGTGCTGCCAATTGTCTAGAGGAAGCTGTACGGTCCGTCCGCGCCATGCGGACCAGGTGTCTATCATCGCGAGCTGACGTCACATTTCGGGGTCCCACTCCCGGATTTCCGAGTTGTCCGACACTCGTCCGTCCACTGCTTCCAAACGCGCATCACTGTGCTGCTGTTACGCTGCACACGAGAGGCTACTGCACGATACGACAATCCAGCTTCACGAAGGCCGATGATTCTTCCTCGTTCAAACTCTGTAAGTTGTTCAAATCTCGCTCTCTTTCGTCGACGAGGCATAAGTACAGATTGAGTTAACGTTTACCACTAGCAGATAACCACCGATAACCATACACGCCTCGCTACAGCCGTCTATTTATTCGGATCCATCAGCCGTTCAGAGGGCGCTGCTCAGCATACGCATGCGCTACGGATTTGCAATTCTAATCATTTGCATATCATGCGCTACTTTGCATTTCCTGAAAATTTCAGCTCACTCGCGTAAGTCCTTCATGGTGTTGCAATTTCACAAATGTGAGTGTATTTTTATTTAAAACTGAATGCTTTAGTATAATATTCTATCTAATAAACATCGATCTCCTTTAAAGTAAATACTGTGGGAAATAAATTTCCTTTTCCTTTATCACCTACGCTAATATTTTAAATATTAGTTCAAATAAGCATATTTTAAAATAATTACCATATTTTTCCATGTATAAGACAAAAATTTTAGCAAATATACAATTTCAAAATTATTTATAGATTATGCGATAAAAATGATTTTACAGGCTAAATTTAAAAATATTATTTTTATTTTATTTAATCTTATTGTAGTACTTTAATCACATATCTAAAAACGGTATACAATTCGGTGATTTTTAACAATTCTAAGCCTTTGCTTGAGGCCAAATTCGAATGAATACCATTGTTTTTCATTTCACCATTAACATCGCTGTCTTTGCCCCATAGATAATATCATCTTCAATTCCATCCAGATTATTCTTCGGTAAACGTGTAGAGGCATTAGGATTTTTGGAAGCAGAAAACATGAAACATATGCAACCGCCTTCGCCGGGAATCGAACCACGGACCTCTAGAATACCTGCCCAGCGTGCTACCGTTACACCACGAAGGCACGCTAGGGTAGTGGGAGAAATACCTTTTATACTCCCTTTTTTAAAGGGCGACTAGGGTTTTAGGGGACCTAGTCGCTAAATCCTGGGTGCGGAGAATCATCATCCACAACCCTTTTAGTTCAGGCGCCACCTGTAGAGTCATTAGGATTTGTGGAAGCAGAAAACATGAAAAATATGCAACCGCCTTAGCCTGGAATCGAACCACGGACCTCTGGAATACCGGCCCAGCGTGATACCGTTACACCACGAAGGCACGCTAGGGAAGTGGGAGAAGTACCTTATAAACGCAATAACCTTTAGTTTTAAATGTAGCAGAATATGCAATGCTTTTTTTACCTTAGCATTTTTCTTTGTATAATAGAACGCAACGTCGTATTTTACTCGTAAAAGGAAAAGCACAACGAGAAAAGTCTCGGGACTATTTCAGAATAGTTACTACAACTAGGAACCAAAATTAAATTCCTATTGCCAAAACGCTAAATAAGGCGTATGTCCAAAAGCTGGGAGAATTGAGAATGATAAACTTTTGGTGCAAAATTGCCATTTCTTTCTGCAGTGCTTTATTTTTTTGAACGCAAGCTGAAAGTGAATTGGCATTTACCTTCAGCTTGTCTGATAGGTACAGACTACAA